GGGGGGGGGGGGGTAGAGAAACTTAGTTGTCATCTGGATCCATACTCCGCCTCTTCCATGGAAGCCTGATATGGTATGTCACATCATGTCCATAGATCACCGGTTACCATGGATGAACGGTAGTATCATTTCATCATGAAGTTTACTCCCTTCTACCATTCAGCAATTAAACATGCGTTGCAGAAAGTACATGTTGTCCGGATGCTGTGATCAAATGGATAAGGTGGTTGTAACAGCGGCCCGGAGGTCGTTAGTTTGAATATAGTCACCGTTACCGTTGTCCCGTTTCCGTATCTTCATCAGATAGACTTTTATTGGTCTCAACCTCTGTCTTGAAAAATTGCTTGTACTATGGTGCACCCGATAAATGTAATTCAAATAAAAACCTTACCATAAAAATATTGCGAACATTCAACTTATACAGACAACGGATGTAGACGAATGTGTCGAAACTTTTAAATTCATTAGTTTTTTCAAGGAGGACTGCTATTAGCCATGCACTGAACCCGTCTGCAAAGCGTTTTTTTTTTTCAGAATTTGGACACTATCCATTGAGCATAAAATCAGAACTGACTGGCAATTGAAAAAAAGCTATTGGGCCCGACAGTCAGTGTCGCTACCTTATTCAATTATCAAACAGGTAATAAAATCTGACTAACCAGGATGAAAAATAATGACACGTGTGGGGACATACTGCTGAGGCAATTTGTGGTGCGGTTGATCACTGTGCGCATCCATTATCATATTACTTGCATTTTGAAAGTAGTAAACAACTCTTCGACGTCACGACCGGAAACAGCAACTTGGTGGATTTCGCTGCTCGCCAGTTAGTTACACTTAAATCTTGAAAATCACAATCTGACACCTGCTCTTAGCAAGTTACTCATCACAGTCTCACAGTTTGTTGTCAATATATGGACTATACCACTCCAATGTAGTCTTCATAAACAGATGCTGATATAAAATATTTTCCGAACTGTACACCCCGCCCAAAATGTACGGCAAGCCCTAGATTTTTGGACTACCGCAACAAAAGTAATTCACCCCCTCCTCTCTCTCCACTCTCGTAGGTTCAAAACCGGGTGCGCTAGTCATAACGTGTTTGTACTTGGGCATGGCCACTGACAACCGTGGTAGACGTACTCAAGATCACCCCGTGGATGAAGCACAAGATGTGTATAGCTCTAACAGTTTTAGGAACAGAAAAACTGACCGAACCTCAAGTAACTTGAACAAACGAATAGAATTTTATCTACTTTAGCGGAGAAAATAAATTTCCTTGAGATGGGCCCGATGTGTTGGCCTACTACTGGCATGATACATGCAAAGAAGAACGGTACTTTAGTAGGTGGATTAACGATCGAAACTCTGTGATGGTGTGGAGTGCCTTCTCGAAGAACGGTTAAAACGACCTCGTTATACTACGTACGACGCAAGATTTTGATGCATACATTCGTACGCTAAATAGTCATACGGATGCCATTCTCTAGCTTGATAATGCAGTGGTTCATAAATGCTGGTTATTAAAACAACGGTGTGGTCTGCATTCAACGCACACTCGAATCCAAAGTAAAACAGTTGGGTTATTCTCATCTGAAAAGTATACCAAAAGGCATGAACTAGAGGAATCCTTGCTTACGGATTGGAATGCTATTGACGGCGATATTATTCGAAATCTTTTACAGATTATACTGAGAAGGTATGTGGGAGTTCTAAAATGGAATGCTCAATGCACCTGGTGCTAGACTGCCTCCAATGATCAAAGTTCATGGGAGATGTAACGATTTGGTTGCGGTGAAAGTGTGTCTTTCGGTAAATTTTCGTTGGAATATAAGATAGTTTGATGAAAATTCGAATTTCGGTTTTTAATTTCGTGATCGCTGAGATCCTTAGAAATGATGATGATCGTGCATATTGGAACAAATCTGATCAGGAAATCTAGTGAATTGCAATACGCTTGTCATGAGTGTACTGGTCAGATGCCAGATATGGGAAAGAAATATTTCCTGTAGCCAAATTTATCTTTACCCCCATAGATCTCAGTTGATGATAAAAATTCATGAAAATCCAATACGCTTACCGCACGATGCTGGAATTCCAGTTCCCCAATCGCACGTTCAGTGTCATGCAAACGCACACGAATCGCATCTTCAACTCGTTCGGCTTTGGCACCCATGCGATTGACCGCTTGGTGTAGACCCAAATGTAATCGATGAATCACTTCGTTTCCACGGGCTATTTCTTCTCTCGCCCGATCCAATCGGGAGCGACTCAAATCTTCCCATGTTTGTAGGTCAACTTGTCTGTTTGCAAATAATTTGGTACAGTTTAAAATAGATTTTCGCAAGGGGAAGAAAACTGCCTAAATGTTCACATCCCCAGATTCATGAAGTTATTCTTTTCACTACTTATGAGTAACTGCGATTTATTGATGAAAATTTATAATCCCTCGCAAGGTTTTGATAAATTCACGCTAAACAAAAAAGCATGTTTGCATGTTTGTCTGATGGATCCCAAATTCGATCCTTAGTTGATTCGATGGATTTCTACTGCTATTGAAACCCTAAAGTTCAGTTCAGTTATTACAACCATTGACCATGCACTTTCGTGCGCCGGTTTTCGTTGCCGTCTCGGTCGCCCATTTGGATAAAACAGCATAATGAAGACTAGAATGTTGACAGGAGATTCAAGCGGAAGATAGTGCATTTATATAGCAGTTATGAGAATAAAGAGTAGATGCATGAGCGTCATTGTTTTCGACACCCAGCCATATCGCTCAGTGTCTCTAACCATGATCTCGGGGTAGCATGCACCATCCCTCATTGGCTCTACTGTTCCCCTGTATTTTTTCCGGGCTTAAAAGAAAAAGATTTCGTATTAATATCCAGGTCTATTACAGTACTTTCTCGATGTAGCGACATAACCAGAAGAGTTCTGGTTGATTTTATTGTGTGCAAACATATCGACGCACGTGAAAGAATAGCTGACCGAATCTTGAACAACGGAGATCACTGCCTGCACAAAGAACTTGCTAAATCCACGTCAAACCCCCGTACCCGCTAACATTATAGGCTGCTTCCCGCACGCAGCTTCGCATACAGAAATAGCATCCTCCCTTTTCATGCCCGCTTTCTAGTAAATCGGGCACCTATTATTACAGGTTTGGTTGAACGCCTTGTGAGTTAGTTTATTTATCCGTGATGCGTCCGCCAGGTGAGATATAGCTGCCCAGATAGTGAAAGGAATAAAGTAGACGGTGGCTATCAAAATCGGAAAAAGTAGCGCTGACTGACACACATGATACTCACGGGTTGGGTTTTCGGTTTACAAACGGTTTGTACGTTACGTAAGCCGAACGTTCATTCAGATTATACTGGTCCACATCAATGCGCATCGCCTCATCTTTATCCTCGATATCAATGCAGAATTGACCGACCGCTTCTTCCATCTGATTCAACTTTTCAAAAGCCTCACGAATTTGAGTTTGAAGGGTTTGTTGAATTTCTTTCAACAGTGTTTGCTCCTATCAGGGTAGAATAAAAATCATCAGTTAGGTTTTCACCTCATTATCATTTATATTACAGTTAAACATGATATTAATTGCTTGAATTTACAGTTTGAACCGAAGTGTATTTTCTAGGATCACTATCTATTCGGATATAATTTAAACAACGCCAGATCTGAAGTGAATGCATCTCATTGAATGGATTATTTTCCGTTCCTCCCCCTTGCCCCGGTAAATTATTGTGAGCAAGAGTGAACTGGTTGGAAGAAAATTTTTAAGGCCACCATAGATAATGTGTTCTGTCGCTAGAAATGGATTCCGAGGCTATCCGTGGCAAGCCATCAAGTGTCTGATCAGCGTGATGTATGGGTGTAACTTTAACATTCTGTCCACTGATTACCGTCAACTGTACAAGGTTCACGTACCTCTTTCAGTTCTGTTTCAACCGGATCAGAAATATACTCCGTCTGTTTGCGTCGATCGACAAATGTGAGCGATTCCGTATTCACCTGTTGTGCATCTGTGATTTTGACCATATAATCTTCTGTGACACGTTTCGCATCTTTCAGGTCGGCTAATCTTTCTTTCAGTCGTCCCAGCTGAAGACTCAATTGATCACGCCATTGTCTGACATTCCAAATCCGATCGGCCAAACGATTGTTGGTGTCATATTGGTCGTTCCTTTTGGGAAAGAAACGAGCCCAATCAGCATCAGAGTGTGAACTTGGTCGAGGTACGAACAGTTGTATTAACATCATGAAAATTACCAAGCCTCATATTTACTTCATGTATCATTGCATTATGTATGCCCGTTATCCATATTCACAGGGAAATCAGCTGGGTCAAGAATGCAACAAAAACAAATGAGATAGTCAACAATTTCTCATCGTACAAAGATACATGGTATAGTTTGTGTGGGTTTTATCAACAGGAAACGAATCTTCGGATGGCGTATATGGGATGAACACCGATCACGGATATGGTTAATAAACTATCGTAAATTGTCCCTAGCACGGCTATGCTAATCGTCAGAGTCTAAATATTAAACACCAAGCAGAAGTCCTTTAGAAAAGCTTGTTAATAGAAAATCATTTAAAACACCAGTTCGAGACACGGAATTATCCTATTGAGATGCAATATCTAATATGTTTCACACAAGTTCGATGCAAAAAGTTGATAAAGCATGACTTTAATTAGATGAAAAAGGAATGAAGTATACCAAATAGGTAAACACATAATTATTAAAACTACTGCACACGGGGGATAGGGAACATTCATCTTAAACGTAATTTATCGATCCTGCTTTGAACAGAGAAAGGTTGTAAGGAAGGAAAGTTAGCGTAGGGAAATGTGTCTTAATTCCGGAATTCTTGGTAAGAAACGAAGTGAACGTCGTCGTTTGACAGACTTTTAGAGTCACCTGATAGGGTTTAGTTAAAGCTCGTAACCGTGTCTCTCGAGGAAAGGACAAAATCGGTAAGCTCCCCGGAGCAANATCCGTGTTGGGAATGCTAGAAAAAGGACAGGGAGATGATTGCAAAACGAAGGGCAAATGATTGAAGAGTGGATGTTATGAACGGATAGATGATAAGGTGAACAGAGTTAAACTGACCACGACCCAGAAGTGTTGAGTAAGATGTGGAGGCACCATCTCGGATTTTGAACGCTTTAGGGGCTTTTAAAGAATGAAAATATTTAGAGAGAGTGAAAACCGGTTTTGTGCGCAAAAGGTAAGAAATCTTCCTGGAAGCATGTGAAGCAAATTTAACAATATGATAGCACTAACGTACAAAAGAGGAAAATCGGAGGCCAGGTAGATCGGTCGGCGTAAAACTGAAACTGAAGCAACAGGTGAAACACTTGTGTGTTCACATAGGTAATAGCATTTATATTAGAGTAAATTTTTTTCTAAATAATAATAAACAAGCCTTGGTGTCTTTATGGCAGTGATTTTCCTGATTTCTTTATACTCAGCAGATGGAATGGTTCAGAATATACAGGATACTCCCATTGAAATGCAGATTTCCAGAGCCCCGAGATTATGGTTGTGACAAAGATATGCCAGAGGTTTGGGCGACCGTCCGCCCGCCCGCATTTCAAAAGCTCCAGCAGCAGGACTGAAACACCTTTGGCGTAGGAACGACGTTTCACTGAAGTCGAAAGGTCGTGTATGTTGTGCTAGCGTTCGTTCAGTCCCGCTTTATGGTTGTGGTACCCTGGATTTGCGAGTAGAAGACATCCGTCGACTAGAAGTTTTCAATTACCGGTGTTTACGCAATTTAGCCCATGTTGGATGGAGCCAACGGATTAGTTAAATGGAGGGAAACTGTCGTGTGTTTGGGAGTCTGTCAGGTATAAACCTGCTAGCATACCGAATTCAGATTACTAGGCTTCGGTGGCTGGGGCACGTATTGCGTATGCCCAGCCATCGTCTGCCACACTGCGCTTTATTTGCTATGGCTAATCCGGGCTGGAGGAAATTACGTGGAGGTCAACAGATAACGTGGAGACGAGGCATGAAGAAATGCACAGAGCCATTAGGTAGAGTAGGTGTCTCTCGCCTTCCAGGTTCGGGTCCGAAAGACTCCACAACTGGTTGGCTGGAGACAGCGAAGGATATGGCAGCGAACCGACAGCAGTGGCGTTCTTGTTGTCGTTTCTTATCAGGTCAGAATGCTTGGAACGGTATGTATGCCCAGTTCGATTTCGTACTCTGTGTGTTGACCATAATGGCTCATCTTCTTCTCCCTCCCTCAAAATAGATCCAATCCTTGTCCACCTTAAATTTTACCACTAGCCTTGTATGCATTGCGAGTTTGGCAGCGATCAGTGAAGTTCGCTGTACGATAATGATGATGATGGATGACCTGAAAAACGACCTGATTTTTCGTGCCCCCCCCCCACCCAACAGCAATCGTTCTCCGGTCTAAATTAAGTGAAACACACGAAGTCAATCGTAGGCGATAGTGACAAAGAAATCACAGGAAGCCATGCAGAAAAGAAAACAATGAAGGGATGACATCACTGACCACGACGAGACTGCACCTTGACGCGGTGTGATGGCTTGCGTGCCTCCATGACCCTGCGAGCTACACCGGATGGCTTCTCACCGGCGGAGTGCCTCCATGACCCTGCGAGCTACACAGGATGGCTTTTCACAGCCATAGATCCAATCGTGTCTGAAAGGTCAACGGGTAGAGGCCAGACGAAGACCAGTCTCACAAGGCCAGCTGCTTGGGCACCCCCTGGCTTCTTTCTTCTATCCACACACACACACCCCTGGAGAGGTCACTCCAGCAAATAAACACGGTGAGGGGCAGCTTACCGGTCAAAAACCCCCGCTAGATGGACGTAGGAGCGGGGTACCTGGGGCTTCCTCTC